ATTCCATATGAATAATTAAATTATTCTCTAATATAATATAATAATAATATTGAATAGACAATATCAAAAATATTAAATTAAAAATAATAAATATTGTGTATCAAAATTTTGATTAAAACAAACAACAATAATTCGATTTAATTTTCATATATAGAAAAATATAATTATTCTTTGTCTTGTGTGTGTGTGAATTTTTTATTATTCATAAAATTACCTGCAATAACGGAGGGTAACCTTGAGTAGGTATATATTGAAGAGCCTTTCCCAATTCGCTTTCCTCGAGTTTAAAAGACGAACCATCGTAAAGTTTGACGGATATTTCGGTGAACGGGAACGTCTTTTCATTCGGCATACCCTCGGCAAGTGAAACCAAACTCTTCGGTGCCGAATATGCTATTTTGGCTGTATGCACAAAGAAAATGTTATAACTTTCGTTAAAATATTATATGTCCAATAATTGAGAAAAATTTGTAAAAAAAATATTACTAACTTAATTCTCTCGTAACAACGGCTCTTCTTCTTTTCGATAATTCAGTTTTGTACGAAGAATAATCCATCGTTAGACTGGTACTTTCTTCCATAGCAAACGACATTTTTATATTACGTTTTATATTATTTTGATCGATTAATATAATATCAACAAATTGAACGTACAAATTACACGTAATAATAATTCTAGAACGAAGAGATTTACGTTGTCGCGTATATAAAATACGTAAGATTTCTTATTAAAAAAAACCGTTCGATTACAAAACTTTTTAATGAGATTTTATGAAAAACAAATTTTCTATGATATTTAATAAAGGACACTTTCCTCGTGTTCTCGATAACAACCCTTTCCTTATACTAACGTCGAGTCTCGTTTCGTCGGCTTTTATATTTAGCCGATAACATTGGTTGCGTCAGATAATATTAACGTATTTGAACACGAACGTACAATTTAAAAATGTTTAACAAAAATTTCATTCATTGAAAATACGAATGAACGTTGATTTTTTTGTCCTTATCTTTTTGTTATTATATTGTCGTTTTGTTAGAAAATACATTTCTAAACTAATTATGTTATTGCGAATAAATTTCTAATGAGATTATAATCGAGATTGTACGATCTAAACATCGAGTAAAATTTGAAAAAACGTTTAAATAATATGAATGAGAGTAAATTTTTATTTGGTCTTGCCATTTCACACACATTTGAAAGATCAAATATATTTTTTATCTTTTTTTTCAAATTACAATTTTAAATGCAATTATTTTATTGATCAATTTTGTAAACAATTTATTATCGAGTTTGCGATTATTTTTGTGCGTGTGCGTGCGTTATTTTCGTTAATTTTTATGAATAAAATTTCATTGATTTCAACTTTTAATCTTTTCAATATCGAAATGACAATGCATTATTCGTTTTAGAATAATTTAGAAAAAAATATGTCAATGCCAAAGTTCAATATCATTTAACAGACGAAGCTAAACAATGATGAAATCGAGTTCATCGAGTTCATTAATTCATACTTGGAATAAACATTTAGTCAACCAAATATTGTTGAAGAAAAAGATTTCATTTGAAATTAAAACTAACAACGCTTGGATACACCACTTTTTTTTTAATTTTTTATGTATATATATATATTTTTTTTTGCTTTCCTGTTTATTCCCCTATTTTATAAAAGTCCCATAACCCCTTAAAAAAAGGTCAAATAGCAGGTTAACGCAATAGAGGAACAATATCAATCGTTGTAAATAGATAAGAATGAAAGTATGATTGGGAATGTATTCTAGCCATATAAGATACAAGGATAATGAACTTTTTTAAAAAAAATTAAAGAAGAGAAAAAGAGATAAGAATAATGAAAAGGAAAGGAATAACATTTTTTTTGTTATTAACTTACTTTCGAAGGTTGAGAAAAAAAAAATTATAGGCGAAAATGTAATATTTGTTCTTAATTACAGTTGTCAACTTTGTAATATATAATTTATTTAATTTTATTTAATTATTGTTATATAATATTGCAATTAGATTTCGATTATTTGATTTCGACAGATTAATAAACTAATTGTGATAAAAAAAAGGAACTTTTACTTAAAAAAAAAAGAAAAAATGCACAGACAAATATGTAAACACTATAAAAATAAAAATTAATTAGTTCCGAGGTGTATTGAAGAAGTTCTGTTTATGGATAATCTATATCTTTATTTATCCATCGTATCTTCATAATATGGTGTATATATTTATATAATATATATACTTATATCATATACACATATGATAAAGATATATTTATATAGATATGACCAAAGATAATATATATTTTTCTCTTTCTTCTCCTTTTTTTCTTTATCAAAAGTATACACAAACGCACGTTAACATGGTAGTACTTACTGAATTTTTAACATTTTTAAATGTATTAAATTTGATTTTCTCTCACTTTCTCCCTTGCCCCGTTTCTCGCTTCTTTTCAACGAACGTATTCTTTTTCATATTTTTTTTTCTTTTTTTTTTTTAAATTTGTGATCCAACGACGCAAATCTAAAACATTCTGATGCAAGAATTAAAACGAATTTTATTTAGAGACGTTTAGATTCGTCAGAATTATTAGAAAAACTTTCCCAATCGTTCTTTCCTTCTTCTCTCTATTCTGTTTTTCCCCTTACAAACATTCCCACCCTTTCCTCTTTTACTCACTTTCTCATGAAACCTAAACGATGTGTATTTTCCGATTCAAATATCTTTAAATATCAGTTTCATAAGAGCCTGATGCAATAATTCAAATACGTTTCTTTCGTGAGTACCTCCGAGAAAGAGTGAGTGAAAACATCTTCAAAATAAAAAAAAAACAGAGAAATAAGAAAAACGAATCATATTTCTAATCAGTATACTGATATATTACTTATACCAGTTTTATACGTACATTCGTGTATGTAATTACGTTTTATACGTGTTTTTTTTTTGCTTGTATACATGCACATATACAATTATGATTCGTTTCCATTTTACGTCATTTATTCTCTCCCCCTCTCTTTTTTCTTTTTTATTTATTTGTTACGTCTTATAATATTATTTTTAAATTGTAATATTAGCAGATATGTTTGAATCATTGATAAGTAAAATCTCGAAATTATATTCTCTATTATTATTTCATAGAGGATGTCTCAAAAATCGATAAACCCGAATTGAAAAATTATAAATATTTTTTTATTGCGAATAATTGGAATTGGATTGTTCTCTCATATATTTTTAATAACATCATAACTGGAGATTCATATATTAAAATATTCAAATATTTAATATTTATCTATATATATATATTTAATAAAATTAGAATCATAGTTGAGCGTATATGCGAATCGATTACTCTGCTCTAAACACACTTATGTTTTTAATATTTAATATTAAATATTAAAAACATAAGTG